TCCCCTCCCCTTCCCTCCTCTCCTCTCCTCTCCTCTCCCCTCCCCTCCCCTCCCCTTCCCTCCTCTCCTCTCCTTTCTTTCCTCATAGATAATTCTCTTGGCCCCCTTATCTTTGTTCCTTTCCTTCTCCCATTTTGCCTAAACATTTAAAAAATATTATCTCACGTCGTTGGACAATGACTAGGGAAGCAAAGGGTAGCACTCTTCTACCAATGCAGTCTAGAGTTGCTATTTGCCTTTGTCTGCAACCATGTGATCCCTGTTGACTCATAGCCAGCTTAATTACAATTAAGCATCTTAGTTTTGCTTCACGCTTCTTGAGTTTCTGGCTGCAGTGGTTCTTGGGTTTATTTCTAATGAGGCAAAGCTGGACAGTGCTTTATTTTCAGAAAGAGTAAAGTGCAGCACCTAAGACCTCAAGCTCTCATATTTATCAGTAAACCGAAAAGAACTAAATGTCTTTTGCAAACCAATCTAGAGAACATCAAGGATGGGGCCATCAGCAACCCCTGGGAGAACGAATTCCAGAGATGTGCAATCACCCTTGAAAAGGTCGTTCTTGGGAAGTGCGGTACTTCTGACGCTTTGGCTGTCAGAACAAAATATTTTGTGTTCTGCCTGAGTCACTAATCTGGACATGCTTATTATTATCCTATTTGGATAATCCATCTAAATCTTGCCTGCGGGACTGAGATAATTCTATACCACCTGAAACAAAACTGGGCCGTTTACTTAGGCATCTCATAAAGGGCTATTGTTATGTCATAGAACAGTGATGGTGAATCTATGGCATATGTGCCACAGATGGCACACGGAGCCCTCTCTGTGGGCACGCGAGCTGTTGCCCCAGTTCAGCTCCACCGTGCATGCATGCCTTCCTCTCACCAGCCAGCTGATTTTTGAGTCTCTGCCGCACGTGTGAGGGGTGAGCGGGGCACATGCGAAAGATGCATGTACATGCACAAGAGTGGGGGGGATCATGTGCACATGTGCAGGGGGCAGGGAAGCGCTGAGGAGTGCAGCCCCCCATACCCCATTTTTGGTCCCAGGAGTCTTCATGGGGTCCTGCTGGGCCCAAAACGGGGCACGAGGGAGCATGTGCATGCACGGGGTGGGGTGGAGAAAGTGCAAGGGGGTTGCACACATGGGGCACACGGGGATGTCACATATGCATTGCATATTGGGTGTAGGCATGCACACTGTTGCGCATGTGTGCACGCTTTCGGCACTCAACAATAAAAAGGTTTGCTATCACTGCCTTAGAACATCTTTAAAGGGCCGGAAAGCTCTTCATATTTTTGCTGCTACTCGTAGATCACTTTTATCCTCCAGGAGTTCATCCACGCAAGGTACTGAATGGCCAGAGCTGCTGCGAGCAGGTGGTCACATGCTCTATCTCACAGGTACCAGGTTGCTCATTCCCAAAATGAACAGTATCATCCAGATGTGGCCGACTGTATTGTCCCAAATTCCTAATC